TGACATGAGACAAAGTATATGTGAACTGCTGTATGAAAAGTGAATTTACTCTGTAAATCTTCACCCAAATCCTAATATAAATAAATAAATAAATAAATAAATCTATTGTATTTCTATGCACTGGTAATTAACACTGGAAATTAAAATTAAAATGCAATTTACAATAGCATGCAAAGCATGAAAAACTAAGATACCTTTAACAAAATACATGCAAGAACCAATTCACTTAAAACTACAAAAACATTTTTGAGAGAAATTAGAGAAGACCTCAATATGTGGAGACACATTTCATTTTCATGAATTCCAAGACTCAACATGCTTAAAATATCAATTTTCTTCAGATTGGGTCTATAGAATAAATCAATTTCAATAAAAATTCCAGGACACATTATGTTAAAGTTGACACACTGACTCTAAAATTTATATGCAAATGTATAGGACCTAGAATAGCCTGATCATTTTGGAATAAAAGAACAAAACTGAGGAAGTCACAACACCTTATTCCAAGACTTACTGTCAGGCTACATTAACTAGACAATGTGCTATTGACATTATATATATAGATCAATAGATACACAGAGTAATAAAACAGAACAGAGTTCAGACAGAGACCCAGACATAGCTGTTCCACTGATTTTAACCATAAAGTTGTTCGGAAGGAAGGTTGGGCAATATCCTTCTGTAGTGATACTGTCTCGGAAACCCAAGGAGGAGTCACTGTGAGTCAGGTCTGACTCCACGGCACGTAACAACAACAAAGTGTTGGTGAAGGTGTGGAGCAGCTGGAACTCTCAAACACTGTACAGTGGTACAATTTACAACAGCTGAGTGTACCCGTACCGCATACATCTGCAATTCTACTCTTAGATATTTATCCAAGACAAGTGAAAACATGTACCCACACAAAGCATTGTTTGTGAATGCTCATTACAGCTTTATTCATAACAAACCAAAAACAAATGGCAATCAACAAGTGAATCTATAACAAATTTTGGTGTGGCCACATGGTGAAATACTATTCAGCAATAAAGAGAATGAACTTTTGATCTATAGTAATTGAAAGCAGAGTAATGAGGCTGTGGATGGGGGTGGGATTGACTAGGGAGGGAAACAAAGAAAGCTTTGGGTGATGACCATGTTCTGTAATGTGATAGCGGTGGTGGTTGGATGTGTTGATAAATTTATTAAAAATCAGTGAAACTTATAATTACAATGGAAGCATTTAT